CGTAGGAAAACCAAAAATCCGTAAACTTCCGAGTTTATGTTGTGACTAGGATTAGTCATAAGTTTAAAGCCTTTGAAACCAGGAGAGTTATAAAGTGGCTTGTGGTGAGAGCATCACAAGTTAGTTGAAGTCTTTGTAATAGGGTTATTGCAAAGTGGCTTGTAATAGTGAGATTGGAAGTTAGTGAAGTTAAAAGCCTACAAGTGTAGGTCGTGGTTTTTTTATCCCCTTGTGTGGGATTTTTCCACGTAAAAATTCCTTGCCTCATTTGCTTACAGTTTTTATTAGCATTCTCTGCTTAACCTCATAGAGGATCAGGTACTCTACTGCTTGGTGGACTCATACAAACTAACAATGGTGGCTACTTCGCTCCCTTAGGGTGGCGAGTAGGCACACCGATGCTAGATCAGCTCTCCGACTGAGCGCATCAGCAACATGATTAGTCTTCCTACTACAGTACTCCAAGTTGAAGTGAAATTCCGCTAGGAGTTCCTGCCACCTGATCTGTCGACCATTCAGCTTCGGCTGGGTCATGAAATGGCTAACAATTGTGTTGTCTTCCTTTACCATGAACGGGGTTCCCAGCAGATAGTGCCTCCAAAAGCTTAAGTAATGAACGACAGTCGATAATTCTTTCTCGTGGGCGGCATAGCGCCGCTCTGCATCCTTCAGCTTTCGACTCTTGTACGCTACAGGATGCCCATCTTGTAGCAAGACTTTGCCAAGGTCATAGTCGGAGGCATCCGTTTGTACCTCGAATGGCTTGGCCAAATAAGGGAGGACCAAGACGGGGCTACTAGACATAGCCGCTTTCAATGCGTTGAAGGCCTCCACTTGCCTGGGTCCCCAATCCCAAGGCGTGACCTTCTTGAGGAGTTCTATCAATGGCACTGTGATAAATTTTTCACAAATCGACGATAGAAGTTGCATAGGCCAAGGAACGCCCTCAAGGTGTGGATATCCTTAGGCGGCAGCCAATCTCTGATAGCTTGAATCTTCTGTTGGTCCATCTTGATCCGCCCTTCCTCGATGACATGTCCAAGGAAGTCAATCGATTTTGAGCAAAGGAGCACTTGGATAGCTTCGCATATAATTCGTGCTCCCGCAACCGGGCTAGGACCTTCCGCAAGTGCTCCAGGTGTTTGGCTATATACCACAATGTCATCCAAGTAGACCACCACGAATTCGTCTATGTACTCTCGGAATACTTGGTTCATCAGGGTGCAAAATGTGTCTTGAGCATTAGTCAAGTCGAATGGCATAACCAGGAAGTCGTACGACCCATATCTTATCACACAGTTCGTCTTGTGTTCATCACCCTCCGCAATCCGAACTTGCCAATAACCTGTCTTCAGGTCTATTTTGGAGAACACCGTCGCACCACCCAGTCTATCGAACAATTCTGCCATTAGCGGAATAGGGTACTTGTTCTTCACTGTGATTTTGGTTAAAGCCTGATAGTCGACACCGAGTCGTAGGCTGCCATCATGTTTCTTTTGGAATAGCACAGGGGACCCGTATGGGGACTTGGAGGGCACGATGATCCATGTGTCTAGCATTACCGTCAATTGACTTCGAAGCTCGGTGAGTTCGGGTTGTGACATTCTGTAAGGCGCCCGGGCGGGTGGCTTCTCACCCGGCACCAATTCAATCTCATAGTCCACAGTACGCCTAGGCGGGAGTCGCTTTGGCATGTCCTGTGGCATGACGTCTTCAAACTCCAGTAGCAACTCCTTCACGAGTGCAGGAATGGGACCCGAGGAGCATTCTATATCTTCAATCCAGAGGGTAGCCAGGAACGTAGGTTCATGTCTTTTGACCCCCTTCTTCAACTGTAAGGCCGAGATGTTCTCAGCGGCCATATTCATGGGCATGTACGGGATAATGCAGGGCTTGGCCCCGTTTGTTCCCATCACCAGTAGCATGTCTGCATACGGTAGGAGCATGGTGTTGGTTTGCCTCAGGAATTCAAACCCAACTATCAACTCGAAGTCATTTATGATCACTACGCGCAGGTTGAATTTTCCTTCATAAGGGCCAAGCTTCACTGGTACTTCTTTGGCTATTCCACCCACTGGCTGAGGAGGTGAGTTGATAGCCTTGACGCGACCTCTGCCCTTTCCTACAACTAGACCAAGGCGCTCCACCTGAGTCGAGGCTAAGTAGTTGTGGGTAGCACTCGTGTCTATCATCGCCCGAATGGGTTTGCCATTCACCTTAATCTCGACGAACATTAAGGTCCTCTCTTGTTTAAGAGGAGTCCCCTCATCCACCTTCTTCTTTCCTTTCTTGGTGATTGGGTAGGGGTCCTTTTTCTTACGGATACCAGCACTGGTTCCCGCTAAGGCCTCAAAAATAGAGCCAACAATTGCATTGAAGGCACCTACTGGCTCGGTCTGGTCCGCATCATCTGCGTCTTCATTCGTCCCATCATCAAAAGCTTGATGGGCATTCATTTGTGCATGTGGGCATTCATTATTCCAATGTGGTCCGCCATAATGACGGCATCCTGAAGGGGGCTTTCTCCCCCGATCATTGTTATTTGACGCAACACTGTTGCTGCCTGAGGAAGGAGCCTTAGATTTGCTGAACTCCGATCTTCTCCACTTCTGCTAGGGCCACCATTGCTAGGCTGGCCCCTTTTGTATCCCGCTCGGACAGGCGGTTGAGGCCTATCCTTTTGAGTTTCCACTTGATAGTCCCTAAGGCATTCCGCTACTTGGATTGCCTTGGGTATGGTATCTACCCTTTGTCTTTGTATCTCCATACGGGCATAAGGTTTCAACCCTTCTAGGAATGTGAAGAGTTTGTCTTTGTCCCCCATGTCCCGTATGTTCAACATAAGCGCAGAGAATTCTCATACGTAATCCCGCACTGATTTGGCCTGGCGGAGCTCCCGTAGCTTTCTCCTTGAATTGTACTCAACATTTTCGGGGAAGAACTTTAGGCGTATGGTTGCCTTCAGTTCTGCCCATGTCTCTAGAACATCTTCACCGGCCCTGATGGCTTCGTACTTTACCCACCACCAGAGTTTAGCATCACCCTGAAGATACATGGCAGCAGTTGCTACCTTCTTAGCTTCTTCTAGCCTCCCCACGGCATCGAAGTACTGTTCGATGCCGAAGGTGAAGTTTTCCACTTCTTTAGCATTCCGAGATCCACTTGGCTCAGGAATTTTCAATTTTTGTGCCACTGGGGCGAGGTTCATAGCACCCCGATTTGGTTTCCACCTCCTTGAAGCAGGCCTTGTAAAGCAGCATTGGCAACATTGAGCTGGAACCTCAAGTTGTCTATAGTTTGTTGCAGGGCAGTCACCCTGTCTGCCTCTTGTGCTCTGTAGGCTAAATCCAAGGCACGCTCCTGTCAGAGGCCCTCGAATTTACCAAACATTTCGGCTGCCTCTGTGGCTACCGTTTGCCGGTCTCCTTCAGAGTCGCGACTGATGTTTTCTATGTCAACTTCGGCCTGGAGCATTCTGCGGTCCAGGTCACGCAACCTTTGCACTAGGCTGGTTCTTAGTTCAGGCACTGTATCCACGATGGCCCGTAATACGTCAACCGTCTCTTCAAGGGCCGCAATGCGGTCCCCATGATTCACCATGGTCAGAAATGGTGGTAATGGCAACGTGTTCCCTCGTCCGATGTCGAGCCTAGGCTCTGATACCAACTTCTACGCGGCGCCTTCTTGAGATTCCTTGGAAGGGCGACGTAAGGCTAATCAACTGATGTCAATGCAGTTACTACCCGCCAACTGAGGTCCCCTCCGTACGCTAGACCAGATTGTCAGTGCCGTACGGGAAAACCAATATCAAGAGCAATTGAGAGAACAAAAATGAGAATTGAGAATGAAAGAAAGCTTGATTGCATTAATAAAAGCTATTACAGAAAAGCAACACGGTGTCGAGGGGGAGAGACACCAGAATAGAGAATAGTTTGCTTGCTAGTAAGTTTGATTGCTTGATCCCCATAATAGTGCTTAAAAAAAATAAACCAAAATTACATGACTTGACCAAACTAAGCTAGAGAATCATAATGGAAGTACATGAAATAAAACTACTCTATATTTACAATGAAAAGGACTTAGTTTTCTACAAGGTAGAGACAGGTCCGTTGTTAGCAACCTTGTCTTTGGCATAACGTTCTGCGCGCGCGGCACTGTTGGCATTTGCCTGCGGCTGGGCGCTGGCGAGGGTTATCGGTGGGGCGACAGGGGCACATGCGCGCTTGTCACTTGGCACAGCCAAGACCACGGGGCCATCCATGGCGCTAGGCGTTGGGAGGCTTGCTAGGACGCCATGGGGCGCGTCCAAGGGGTCATGTGTCATGGCTGGAAAGCTGCCCATGACATATTACGCATGAACATGCCTAAAATTCTGCCTTTCAAATCACATGATCAATAATTCTAGTCTGGCAATGAAACGATTCCAATCTTCGACGCTCATATTGATATTACATACTTTATTTGAGTATTTCAAGGAAAAAAGAGTTTTTGTAATGTTAAATCCAAATAAGTATGTGGAAAAGTAATACATAATCGATCATTAATGATGGAAATAGTGCCTACAATGTTCAAGTTTTGAATAACGATTCAGAAATTAATTCAATCTTTAGCAGTTAGCTATATAGGAAGAGGTGTTTCAATTTCAATCGCATATGCAACTAGCAGTTTGCACTTTGCAGCCCCATATATACGTACGTACGTTTCCAGATTTTTCACAGGTATAAAACAAAAGGACGCGAACTTCTGCATACAGTTAAAACGGAATTGGTGAACATACATGATACATACTCCATAAAACTTCATTAACTTCTAACTGGTGCAGAAACCACAACTTAATCTACACTTCCATTTAAACTATCCTGCAAAGCCAGCTATTAACCCTAACAAACTACAACATGTACTGGGGGGTAAAATGCTTCTTTTTCTTTTTTGTCATATTAGTTATACTCACTCCGTTACAATTTAGATGACACATTTTGCTTATCAAGAGTCAAACTGTGTGAGTTTGAATAGTAAATTTTTTACTCAAAGAAAGTGTACAACCTAGTAAAAACAGAGCATCCCTGTTGACATATCACAAGACAATGAGGAGATAGTATCGTTATTCACTTATCACGGCAATGAAGCAAACAACAGAACTCGCTTTATTAAAATAAGCTTGATCAATAAGTAAAACACATTAATTATCCACCTTCAGGTTGCCATTAATTTTTTATTTTCTATAAAAAATAGTACTTGTATCAAACACACCCCTGATCTTTTCAATTTGCACCAGCCAAGGCTGCATCTTTGAACCCTTTGAAAACAGCTTTCACAGCATCAGGTTTAGGAAGGCTTTGTTGAATAACAGGAACTTGAATGAAATTATTGATCCATGCATTAAGATAAGGGTATTTTTTAGAATCCATTGCTTTGAATTCACCAACTTCTTCTACATATTGGAACCAATAAGCAATCCAACCAACTACTATGTCAACATACCCTATTTTTTCCCCACCAAAGAACTTTTTCCCTGTTATCTGTCCTTCAAGAAGCTGTAATCCCTCTGCCACTGATTCAACCCCCTCTGCTTTAGTTTCTCCTGAGGAGAAAAATGCCTTTTTTGCTGCTTCATAGAACTGCATCGAACATGAAAAGAAAATATTCTTGAATATCCATTATGTGTATCCGAAACTTGCTCAATAGAAAGACTCAACTACTGCTTAAGAGTAGTTTCGATTTTACGGATTCAACTTTAAACCTTTCATTTTACCCATTTTATCCTTAATCAGAAGCTTTTATAACCACACAATGTTATGTTCCCACAAAGTTTTTACCCCTTAAGCTTTTAAGACCACAAATTTCAAAAGTCTCCTTCTTTTCTCTTAAACTCCGTGTCGAGTCAAACTATCTCATCTAAATTGAAACGGAAGAAGTAATAAGTATCCGGGTAGCCCAATGTGCAAAGCATCCTTTGTTCATGCAGGATACGGGAAAGGGTCGCACCCCAAGAATGTGAAGTAGATAGTCACCCTAATGCAAGCATTAGTGGCTGATTCTACTGCTCGAACCCCTGATTTATAGGTCAAATGAAAACAACTTCACCGTTATTACATGTTAAAGAATCTAAGTATTAAAAAAATACTCTTTTTAAGTGTTGAAACATATTAACTTTACACAATGTTTACAAAAATTTGGCTTCTTGTGATACAATTGTGCTAACCACTTGCACCATCAATCTCAATAATTAAGTTGGTGGCATAATATTAATGTCCATTGGTCCTAGACATTCATGTTAATTAGCACGCAACACAAGAGGTCCCACTGCCGCAGCTGTGGAATCATCAAGTATCGAAAAGTTCAATAAATAGAGCAACTAAATTATAGGGTGGATGGAATCCAAGAGACAAAACTTTGTCAATAGAGATTCATCGCATATATGGATTTTCATGAAACAAAGTTAATTGTCAAAATAAGTGAATTGATGATTAATTAACAATCACAGTAACTATATGTATCCGTTCATAAAATAAGAAAAACTACCTGCCATAACAAGTTAAAATACACTAATAATATAAACTTGTAAAATATATTAGAATGGTTAAAAGGAAAATTACCTTGCCATCAATAAACCGAGCCCAAAAACGAGCAGAAGCTCTGTCAAAAGGATCCAAAGGGAGTAGAGGATTAAGAGGCCAAGTTTCTTCAATGTATTCAAGAATAACAAGTGATTCAGACAATGGTTTCCCAAAATGAACAATCACTGGCACCTTCTTATAAACTGGATTAAGTTCCACAAGCAATAGAGTACTACTCCTACTAGAAATATCTTGCTCTATAAATTCAAAATCAATGCCTTTTAGCTTAAGTGCCCACACTATTCTTTGAGTAAATAGACTTTCTTTTGTGCCCACAAGTTTCAGATCTGCTCTCTCCTCCATCCTCTCTCAGTTTTTGATGTGTGGTTTCAATTGGATACTACTAATGAAGAGCTCTTTTTTTTCACGCAAGTTATTCCATGCAAATAAAGATAACAAGCTTAGGGACAAAGTATTCTCAATCAATGAACATTAGCTTTATGTCACATCTACATCAGAAAATTAAGTCACCACTAAGGTTCTTTTTTAGGGCTGATGAACTGATATTTTAAGGAAAAAAGAAGGAAACGCGTGAAAGATTCTAATGAAACAGAAAAGGAAATGGAAAGACAAAAAGTAAATTTAATAAATAGATAAAAACCTGTAGTGCCCAAATTTAACAAACATCAAGCCACGAAAACAACTTGCAGGCTTGATCAATAACAGCGTGTTTGGATGGTTGTTGTCAATTGTATTGTATTGTATTGTATTGCATTGTATTGTATTATTATTTTAAATATATTGTTTGTTTTGATTGTTACCTAAACTATATTGTATTATATTATTAAATTCATGTTACCTAACAACGTAAAAACCTGTTCTATATATGTGACAATTAGTTTCATATGGTTGGATTTACATTATTCCCTTTTTCATTATACCCTTATTCCTTATTATAGTCATATTTTGAACTTTCTAGTTTTCTATTTAACTCCATCCTATATCCTGTTCCTGCTTGTTATCTACACTATTTGTCTCCTCCTTAGTCGCGCATGAAAACGGTCAAACTACAAGTGATTTTTTTTTAATTATTATTATTATCCTATTTAAGTTTTAAGTAATTGTTTTGTAGTTATACTGACTTTTTTCTTTTTTTGATAATATGGATATATATTATATATAAAAACTAGAAGTTGCTAGTACATATATTTCAAATATGAAAATCGTCACACGTTGGTGACCCAATGTTTGTGACATTCTGATTCCCGTAGTTATACTGACTTCATGACAGAGACTTGATGTTCATCTATGAAGAAGGGTTCCATACTCTCTTTTTTGCTTGAATCACTATTTTAATTCTTAACTAGTTTATTGAACCAAATAATTCTAAACTATAGGTAGCTTTTTTAAATTTTTTTATAATGCTCCAATTGCGGGGATGCGCTTAAAGTAGCTCAGGACATTTTTTGAGTAATTTGTTGATAAATCTAATATTTATAGCCGTCAAGAACATTTTAGTAAGATTTACCAATTATTATACAATACTATACAAAATGAAACACTAAACTACAACACATAATATAATCTGCCAAACGTTGTTCTAACAAAATAATATATTACAAAAGAATACATTATGAAGTGATGAGTAACAACAATCCAAACAGGGTGTAAGTAAAACGCATCAAAATTCACTTTCGGGTTGCACAAATAAACAATACCAAGAACCTAAAAGGGATCTGTTTTCTTTTTAAAAATTTAGATAAAGATAACTTCATTGTATCACACACACCCCTTAGTCTTTTCAATTTGCACCAGCCGAGGCTGCATCTTTGAACCCCTTGAAAACAGCTTTGATAACATCAGGAGTAGAAAGACTTTGTTGAATAACAGGAACTTTGTTCTGGATGTTTTAATTGAGTTTTTGGCGAATATTGTCTCTTATCTTTGAGGGTAGGTCTATTTTGGTCCTCAAATATCACCGTGAGCATATTTAGTCCCTTAACTATGCTAAAGTGGACGCCTTTAGTCTCATTGACAGAATCTGTCCAAAATCAGTTACGGGGTTGGTTTCGACACTCACCGTCTTTTTAATTTACTTATCAAAAATATTTTTATAAATCAACACCCACTAATAGTATAGAGCTAATAAATTTAAGAATTTAACGTTGAAACTTTTGCTTTTAAAATTTTCGGTTAATTTTTCCAAAAAGAAAAGTTAAAATTTAAAAAAAATAGAGCTGCCAAGATCACTTCTAGGCATATTATTGAAGCAAACGAATAACCAGATTGTATTATCACTTTTAGCCCGCGCCAGAAACTATTTACATCTGGTAGCCGAAAAAGTATATAAAATTTTTATAATTTTGTGTGTGTGTGTATATATATATATATATATATATATATATACACACACACACACACACACACACACATACATACATACATACAAAATAATATACAAATTTTATTCATTTTTTCGGCTATTATTTTTACAGCGGCTATACAGTGTCATTTTCTCATTGAAAACTGACACAGAAGGGGATATTTTCAAGGTCAAAATTTTAGAAGACATTATCTAAAAATAAGGAATTAAAGTAATAATTTGCATTATCCAATAAAAAGAGAGGAAACGTTTTGCTTCAGAGCAGAAGATTTGCTTCATGAATCAGAGCTGGTTAACACCGTTAGTTTTTGGACAGATTCTGTCAGTGAGACTAAAGGTGCTCCACTTTAGCATACATAAGGGAATAAATATGCTCAGCGTTATATTTGAGGGACCAAAATAGACCTACCCTCAATGATAAGGGACAATATTGGTCAAAAACTCGTTTTAATTGGATATCGATAGTTTTTAATTGGGTTCATTTTTCGGGGGAAGTGCACAGTTAGCCAGTAATAAGACATGTATTTACTTTTAAGCCATTGTTTAAAATGTCTTTAGTCTTTAGCCACTGCTTTAATAAACTTTTACCCGCCCGGACGAAAATACCCTTCTGCTATAATAATTTCGCTGAAACCTACGCTCCTTATTTACGTGATAAATTCGCTCAGCTTATTTACGTCCAGAGAACTTTGCTCAGCTTTTTGGAATTGCAGAGAACTTCGCTCAAACTTTGCCTGTGATCGTCCAAATTACATAAGCTTTTCTCCTCCTTTCTCCTCCTATTTTAAACTAGAGAATTTAACTTTCTCGTCCAATTTTATCATAAAATTACAGTAAGTTCTAAAATTCAGATATCTCTATATACTTTTGTTTGTTTGTTTGTGTGGATTTTTATTTCGTGCTGGGAATAAGATACAAGGGATTTGATTTTTTTTTTCCTTTTCTGGATTGATAAAGTTAAGGACATCGTGTCTTTAACTTAATGACTGTTGTGTAAATATTAAGGACATAGTGTTCTATATTTGCAGCTTGTATTGATAAAGTTTAGGACATTGTGTTGTGATGACCCAAAAAGTCATCACTTATTTTAGAAATAAATTCAGTGTTCCGAGGCCTAAAAACCTCCTTTTTACCTCACCTCGATTTGCGTGCACAGTCCTGGCGCGTAGCCGGAAAGCCATTATATGAAAATCTGTGAAAAATAATGGATTTTTCCTTTAAAATGAATTTAAGTTGACTTCGGTTAACATTTTGTGCAAACGGACCTGGATCCGTGATCCGACGATCCCGGGATGTCCGTAAGAAAATATGGGACTTGGGCGTATGCCCGGAGTCGAATTCCGAGGTCCCTAGCCCGAGAAATGAATTTTTAAAGAAAATTGTTTTCTGAAAAATGCATGAGTTTTTGAAAATGAAATGTGTTTGAAATTTGATGGTATCGGGCCCGTATCTTGGTTTCGGAGCCCCGTACAGGTCTTATATGTGATTTAAGTTGAGTCTATGAAGTTTGGTAAGAAACGAACTTGAAATGACGTGAATCGGACCTTATTTGAGAAAATTAGAAAAATTTGATGTTCTTAAGTGATTTCATGATTTTGATGCTAAATTCATAGTTGTTGATGTTATTTTGGTGATTGAATGCAGAGTCCGTATGATGTTTTTGGACTTGCGTGCATGTTTGGTTTGGAGCCCCGAGGGCTCGGGTGAGTTTTGGATAGGCCACGGAGTGAAATTTGGACTTAGGATGTTGCAGATTTGAACTGGTATGTTGCAGGCCTGCAGGCTTCGCAAATGCGAAGGCTATGTCGCAAATGCGAAATAGCCCAGGCCAGCACTTCCTTGCAAATGCGAAGCATTCATCGCAAATGCGATGCCCCCTGTTGTGGCCAGTCGTCGCAAATGCGACATAATTATCGCAAAAGCGACTTTGCAAATGCGAGGGTCGCTTCGCAAATTGCGAACCCTAGTCGCAATTGCGACATCAGAGACATGTAAATCCACACTTAGACGCATTTTCAGCCATTTTTCATATCTTCTCAAAACATAAACTCTCTTGGGCGATTTTCCAAAGAAAACTTCTTCTCCAAATTAATTGTAAGTCGTTTCTAACTAATTTTCTTCAATCCTTAACATCTTTTCACATGATTTCAACTCAAAATCAATGATTTTCATGGGGGAGATTGGGTATTTTGGGTAGAACCTAGGTTTTTCAAATTTTGGGAATTTGGACCTCAATCTGAGCTTCGATTTCAAAACAAATTATATATTTGAGTTCGTGGGTGAATTGGTAGTCGGGTTTTGGTTCGAACCTCGGGTTTTGACCATGTGGGTCCGGGGTCGATTTTTGACTTTTTGGAAAAAACTTTAGAAAACTTGTTTCTATGCATTAGAATTGATTCATTTAGCATTTATTGATATAATTAAGTAACTTGTGGCTAGATACAAGCGAGTTGGTGGTGGAATCAAGAGGTAAAGCGATGGTTGAGGCTTGAACTGTGTTCGTGGCATCGAGGTAAGTGTTTGGTCTAACCTTAGCTTGAGGGATTAGGAGTTGTGTCCTATTTGCTACGTGTTATTTGTTGAGTACGACGTATAGGCATGGTGACAAGTATCTATACGTTGGTGTCAAGCATGCCCATGAGTCTTATGATGTGATTAACGTGACTCCGTTGGTATTGTTCATGTTTAATGTGGTGGTTGCTATTGTTGAGTTAGGTTTGTGGAAAGAATATTGGCATTGGTATATTGAAGAGCGTTGGCTCAAGTGGTAAAGTCAATTGTGGAAGTATAATTGGAAATTGAATCTTATAGAGCATTGGCTCAAACTGTGAACCAAGTTGTGAAGTAAATGTGAAAAATGAGAGAAGGATTATGGTATTGATCCCTTGCCGGGACATTGTTGCTTTTTAAATGTTGTTCCCTTGCCGGGAGGTTGTTGTTTTAATATTGTTCCCTTGCCGGGATTTTATTATGATTCATTTATTCCTTGCCCTTATTGTTTGTGTTTGTTGTTTGAGTGAGGAAAAGTGTAAAGCACGAAGGGTGATGCC